CACCTAGTTGGGTAGGGGATTTGTTTTGACATTTCAGCAGCCTAAGCAACAAGTTTATGTTAGGTTAAGGCTTGTTTTCCGCTTGATTTCAGGAAACGGTTACTGAGGAAACTCATGGGGATAAAATGCATAAAGCAACAAAAAGAATGAAAAAAGATTGTTTATCTTAGTCTGTAATGCGCAGTATCGGTCAAGACTTAGGGTTCTGGAAAGTGGCAGATAGTGCAAAAAATTAACTAGAAATTGGCTAACAGCAAGATCGTTGTTGTCTTTATTTCAAAAGGTTGCCATCTCTTACTGTAGCAGTGGTTTAAGAAAAAAGAAGACTGAATTCTCCATTCCTTTACTTTGTTTCCAGAGCAAGCAGGCATCTGGACAGCAGAAACTCAATTCAGTCCTTAGAGCTGGACAAGCTCAACTTACAGTTAGCTTGGAAATGCTCATCTTTTAAAGGCAGAGCTTTTAAAATGGTGCAACAGCAAACTCTGTGTGTCTAACAAAATAAGTACAGAGAATAATACATCTAGAGGTATTCTGATCTCTCAGTCTACCTTTTAAGCACAGGCGATATAAAATTTTTCAAAGCCATTCATACCCATAAGTAAGTTCCCAGGCGACCTATTATATTCCCGCAAAGTATGTGTCAAAATATTTTTTTTTATAAACACCTGTTGTCATTTTTTGACAAGGAAGTAGTTAATGTAATGAATGGTCATTTTGCTTGAAGAACCTCAAACCTGAACAGAGCTTTTTCTTGACTTTAACTTTACTTTGAAAAGGACTTAAATTTTCTTGGCTGAGATTTACACCAGCTACTCTATTTCTCAGCAACAAAGAAAGGAAAAGGTCCTGTTTGATTTTAGTACACTTGACTAGGTTAGTGCCTCCTTTGGTAACAGTGTAATTTAGAGTGATGTTAGAAAGTGTCCAGCTCTTAGTTATCAGTTACCTTCCTCAAAGAAGTTGTCTTTGAAAATACAGGTTCTTGTTTTGCATTGAAATGTATGAAACATTCTGTTCACATTAGACTGTTTCACCAGTTTCTAGTTGCAATGACAAAATGATTTGCTTTTGACTCTGAGTTAACGTTCATTCTAATTGTTGTAATTTGAGCTGGAGCAAAAGTGAGGGGTGTTCCCAAATGACTGCTGACAAAGCTTAGGTTTGGTGGTTTTGGTTTTTTTTTTTTTTTCTGGCTTTTGCAAGTGACAGTAAAGGCCTTCTGGCCTGATATTTGGACAGCTAAGTTTTTGCTAACAGAATTAGTGCATGTTTTCAGGAAGTAAACAGAAAAACTCAACAGAACTAAGAAACTAAAATATGTTGAAAATACTAATAAGAAAGCACCCTTTACCCTAAAGGCTAAAGGATAAAAACTCTTCAAGAAAAAGCAAAAAGCCTTTTTATTTGACTTTTGGTGACAAATAGATTGAGTTTAGTGCTGTAGAAAATGGAATGTATTCTACTCTGATCCATGAGGAACGTCAGTTTCCTAAGTTCCTTGGACTTCAAGATGAAGAACCTTTCAATAATAGTTTCACACATGTGTTTTATATGTAATTATCAACTGGATATTGAATAGACTGCATCTAGAACTATTTGGTTGAAATCATTAGCACACTTTCACAGTATTTTTTTTTTTTTTTGGCTTTCAGGTAAAGTTTATTGAAGGCAACAATGGAACGATTTGGAGTGAAGTCCGCTCCATCACGTAACCGCTCGAAGACTGCTTTGTATGTAACTCCTCAGGATCGTGTAACTGAGTTTGGCAGTGAGCTGCACGAAGATGGAGGAAAACTCTTCTGTACTTCCTGCAATGTGGTTCTGAATCACGTCCGCAAGTCTGCAATCAATGACCACCTCAAATCTAAAACACACACAAAGCGAAAGGCAGAGTTTGAAGAACAGAATGTCAGGAAGAAGCAAAGGACTCTGACTGCCTCCCTTCAGTGCAACAGTACTGCCCAGACAGAGAAAACCAGTGTCATCCAGGACTTTGTGAAAATGTGCCTGGAAGCTAATATTCCACTTGAGAAGGCTGATCATCCATCTGTGCGAGCCTTCCTGTCCCGCTACGTCAAGAATGGCAGTTCGATACCTAAGTCAGACCAGCTAAGGAAAGCGTATCTGCCTGATGGGTATGACAATGAGAACCAACTCATCAATACTGAAGACCGTTGAGAAGAAAACTGTTTTCATCATCGTTGTGAAGTTTTACATATTGATGGTGTGGTTTATTTTTATATTCATGCATATATACAGTGTTACATATTGGTTTTACAAGCTATTTTGTATTCTTGTAGAAATGACAATCTATTTGTGAACTTAGTGGTATGCCACAGACTGTTGCTAACCCTGCTGTAGACTTCAGAGCTACATTGATGTAGAACTCATGATGAATGTGGGGAATATACCTGGCATACACTTTATCTACATTCAGTCCAGCTGTAACTGACGCTAAGAAAAAGGCACTTGGATGAAGGACCTCACTTACTTAAACTGTGCATCTAAGTATACGAGGAAGATGATGCAATAGGGATTGTTAATCATGTCAGTGGATGGCTTTGTCCAGTATCCTGTCCATGAGTGATCAAGAAGAAGTGCTGCACATTTGAAATGCAAGAAGCTGTAGAATGGTTAGTTAAAATATAACTGCTCTGTTGGGGGAGGATTGTTGCAAATTCGTATTCAAGTTCGGTTTACATTCTAAAACATGAAATATTTCTCTTCTAGAATACTTTCTTATCCTGTTTGATGCAACTGTGGATGTATTCATTATCTAGCTTAATTAGCTGGTCTTTTGCATTGACCTCTAGACCTTACTATTCTCATAAAGCTAGGAGTTCTGCAGGTTTACCATGCCCACTTTTTAAAAATTGCTATTTCGTTGTCTCAGTTTAACATGTCCCCTTCAGTTTCAGTGCCAATCTTTGAAAATTGAGTAGGCAAACCAGTAACTGAGTGTGGTTTGCAGTGCAGCTGGTGGCAAGTGAAACTTATACTGGGCCAAGATCTTAGCAGAGAGGATTAATGCCTTTTTCTTACTAGCAGGACAAAGGATGCTAGATCTAAATTGGGTGTGGGGGAAGCACTAAGTTGCAGACTTGAGAAAGCTTTTTTACAGTGCACAGGAGAAGAGGCTCCTCCAACTTTCCCTGAAGGTCCTCTACATCTCTGACCTTGTCCTCAGCCATTTAGTCAAAGGATGTAAAGTGATTAAAATAGTTTTCAAAACAGTTACTGCAATTATTCAATACCTGTAAGCGCAAATAGGAAAGCATGTGTACTTTGAAGCTATACTGGAATTACAGACCTGGGCTGTATTTCTTATTCTGTGCCAAGGCCATATCTACTGGACTGGCAAAAAATAAAATGGGAAATTGCAGAATTTCAATAACGTTACCCTCTCTGAGATCACTAAACTATTACTGAGCTATTGCAAATTATGCCAAATAGTCCCCTCAATGTAAATGCTCTATAAAGTTTTTGAATGGAATGAGGGAGCATAATGCACAGTGCTGGAATACAACCAACTTCTGCTTGCTCTACATTTCCTTGAGATGCTCTGGGTTCAGGGAGGTGCCAAGCATCTTCTAGCAGCACAGAAATCCTCCACTCCGTGGATACAATGGTGTAAGCATGCTTTAACTCCCTCAGGTGGAGCCAGTTGTTCTCTTCAGCTTCCTTTCCCCGGTAGAGTTTCACAGTATCTGTTTCTCAGTATTTCTTTAATTCCAGATATTTACAGCAATACTAAGTAATTGCTAAAAAAAGAGAGACAAAATAACCTGCTTATTTTGTTTCTGTAGCTATTTCCCTAGCTATTTCTAGAGCAGTCTCTTTTGCTGGATTGAGAGAGACTTACACACTTAGTAACAACTGGTTTTTGTGCAATTAGCTTCTACAGAAATGCACTTGGGTTACATTATAACCTTGTGTTGTAGCTTTCTGCTCTGAGACCTGTTTGAATAAGTGGACAAAGCTAAAAAGTAGAAGGCTCCCTATCCATGTGTACCATTACGTGGGTACTCAGTACACTGCTGCACCTTTGGTCCTTGTTGAAGCTAGCGGGACTCCATGCAGTCATAGCAGCCCTGTCAATGATGTTAGTTGCTGATTTAGAACTTCAGACAGAAACAACAATAGTATTTTTTTTCTCTCTAATATGCCTTCCAAAATATCGTTTGCTATTGCACAAGCTTGGGTTTAACTGAAGATCATGAACTGCCTTGGACTAGAACTGTTTTATAAATCTTCTTAAGCCAAGTGAAAGGTACACTGCCAATAGCCTTTTCTGTCCTGATAATAACTGAAAGTGTTCTTTTACAGCTGCTGTTTCATTACAGTGAAACAACATCCTTGCTTTAATTTTTTTTTGTGTTTACCTTGTGAACGCTCTTAGAATTGAAGCAAATAGAAAACAATTGTGTATCAAGAAAACAGGCTTCCATTAAACAAAGGCATCTAGAGAAGATGGTATGATTAAAAGGTATGAATTTGGACTAGTTAGCTCAGTTCTTGCTAACATGGGATTTCACAGGCTGCACCCCATAACCATTTTATATAGGATTCAGTGCTGTATGTTTTTCTCTTGACTTGGCAAACTGACAGACATTTTTAAAAGCTTAATGGTAACATTAAATATGCTCTTGCACAACTGGAAAAAAAAAGTTACTTTCACTTATACAGTTTTACATAAAAATAAAAGCTAGCAACATCAACAGCTTTTGTTAAAAAAAAAAAAAGCAAGCCAGCAATTTTCAATAAGGCAAAGCAATATTAGAACATTTAGTTTCTCAAAAGCTTACTCTACTTATAAAGCAATCTGTGTACAGAGCCTCAACTTACAGGATTAATACAATTCTGTATGTATTTTCAGTAATTATTCTAATACTGATTTGATTTTTAAGTAGAATTACTGCAGAAGGTACAAGCCTGGTGAGGAATCTTATCAGTGCAGCCATAGGCTACCAACTCATAACAATTTGGAAGCAGAAATTGGTCATCGGGATTTTGAATGGAACTGACTTAATTCCAGTGCACAGCAGTTTGTAGGACACTGATGTCTTAAAAAAAGGAGATTTTTGTTAAAAAAAAAAGCCACAACTTTTTTCAAGCTTTTTGAAAAATCAAGATCCTGATCCATTGCAACAAACATTCATAATGGAGTAAAACAATAAAAAAATAAAGCACTTCCAGGTAATCTAGAAAGACTAATGAATAAGTAAGTTTATATTCATGGACATAACCCAGATCATCAACAAGACACTTATGCGTATTATTTTCTTTAAAAGTGAAAATGGTTCCACTCAGTCTTGGAACAGAGTCCTGCAAACACTCAAGTTCAGAGCATAATTTTGCCAGTGTGGCTATAGTTGGATAAAGCATAAGCTTGGTTTAATTGCTATTAGGGAAGATTTACAGAAGAAGTTTTCTGGTATACATAAACCTAAGTAATAACTAATCCCTAGAACAGAGGCTGTGGCTAAGTTTTTTAACAGTCTCTGTGGGGTTTTCCTTTTTTCTGCAAGAACGCTGCATTATTTTTCCATGTATTTCCTGTAAAGAGTACTCTCAGAAGTAAAGGGAGGATTCTAGCAACGTCTGCTTTTCATTTTACATACATATGTAGGGACAAGCTATAAGGGATACTTTTTGCTAGGTGGTTTTATTAATATATTTGAAGCTCTAAATGTAATATAATAAAAAAAAAAGAGAAAAATAAGAAATATTTTCTTCTCTGACCATGTACCTATATTAGTTTAGCCAACTCACAGCTAAAATTACTCCGAAGTGCTTTTCTTGAAACAACACTTTCAAAGAGTAAAATACAAACAGGAACATTCTCTGTTTTATGACTACTTACGTGTATGCACCATGTTAGTTTCAGCTTGCATGTTCTTGAAAAAAGTGAGCAAGTTCTAATATTTTTGAACGTTTTGAAGCCTGTAATTTGGCAGGTCCCTAGAGGAAGTGAAAGATTTGCCATAATGAAAGGGAAAGCTGTTTTTCAATTGAGAGAGAAACTTGGTTCTGCAAAGTATGGGATATTCTCATGATAGAAGGACTATTTTTAGCCAGAGCCCCTGTTAGCAATTCTGTTGAACTGAACAGTGAAATGCTCCCTGCTAGGTTTTGCAGCATAATGAGCTGGTTTTCAGGAAAAAAAAAAAAAAAAAGCTGGAAGTTTGGCAAGGATAATCTCTATTTATATTTACATATAAAGAGAGGCAAGACTCACTGTTGTTGTGTTCGCATTGTACTCACTGCTAACTCTTTGTGTAATTTGAGTGCTTGTTGTCTTTGTACAATTTTAAGGTTGTGTCTAACTTTCAAAATAAATTTTTTTTTTTAACAAAGCTTCTCATTGTAATAGTGCTGTTAGAGTTTAGTCTCTTTTGGGCTAGGGAAGATGCTTTCTTTTTGGTTTGGTGATAAGGATGTTTTGCTGATGGTAAGTGGCCACAGAAATGGTTTTAATAAACAAGTGATGAACTTATGATTAGATATTAGAGTGAGGCTGAAAATACCTGGGTCCTGCGGTGTCACAAGACTTCCTGTTAGAACAGTAAGACCAGAGTGAGTGATTTAAGTTTTTATATTAAAATATTATTGGAAGAGAAATACTTTACTTTGTAAAGTTTTCACTTGGTAATGGAAAAATGGTCCTTTTTAAAAAGAAAATAAAGGAATTCCTTTTTCATAGAATTTATGCATGATCTCTTATTTTGCCAAGAAAGTGGATAAAGAAGATGTAGTAGATCACATATAAGGATAATGTAAGATAGCAGAAGTGGATGCTGACAGGGAAAATTAAAGAATGTGGATGCTGTTGTTCTAGCTTAAGGTAGTATCAAACTGTAAGTTGAAGCAGTTTGTTGATGCATTTGTACAATCACACTGAATTCTATTTCAGGACTGGTTATACAGAACCCCTGCCTCCTGTCAAGTATATAACTTTGTTCATGGTGACAGAAATTCCCTAATTATTATCTTCTGTTGCAAGTGAACACCAAGTGAAATCATTGTTATGCATTTTGACATTGTAAATGATTTGTAGGTATCTTGCAGCTGCCTGATGCTTCAGGTCTTTTCAGGAAGGGCTTCTGCAATGTGGAAGAATCAGGTCTTTCCAAACTCTCTGCAAAATACTCAGTTTGATCTCTGTGTCCCTTAGGGAC